CATACCAGAATGGGAGAACTGGGCGACAGCGATTCCCCTCGATTTTCTCCACTAGTGTTAAAGGTATCTTTATGTAGGTTTGATCTTAACCTGATATTGATTACATGTCTTGATAATACCTCAGTGTGATTGGTTAAATACTCTGTCAGACGTTGACCTCGTGCTTGCTCGTGATGGACAACTACAGGACTCCACGTGACCGATTCAGCATCTCTTTGTTTACTTCCTAAACTTTCCCCAACTCGCAATGTCTGATCTTGCATGAAAGCCCGACTTTCCGTCGCCCTTGCCTTCGGCCGATCGTTAACTTTATAGTGATTGTTACCATCATCTTTGATCGAATATGCTACAATTTTCTGTTTTTGAGATCCTGCTTTTATCTTATTAAAAGCACTGGCGACCTTTTCAGATTTGAAATGCCAACGGCTGACCAGCAATGAGGTATTGGCGACATATTCAGACCAGGAATGTCCATGGGTGGCCATCAATGAGGTATTGGTGACCTATTCAGACCAGGAATGTCCATGGGTGGCCATCAATGAGGTATATTGGCGACATATTCAGACCAGAAATGTCCACGGGTGGCCACCAATGGGGTATATTGGCGACATATTCAGACTAGGAAAGTCCACAGGTGGCTAGCAATGAAGTACTGGCGCCCTGATTAGACTAGGAATGCCCACGGTTGGCAGCAATGACGTATTGGCGTCCTGATTAGACTAGGAATGTCCACGGCTGGCCAGCAATGAGGCATTGGCGTCCTGATTAGACTAGGAATGCCCACGGTTGGCAGCAATGACGTATTGGCGTCCTGAATAGACCAGGAATGTCCACGTGTGGCTAGCAATGCGATGTTGGCGACCTATTCAGACCAGGCATGCCCATGGGTGGCCAGCGATGAGGCATTGGCGACCTTTTCAGATTTGAAATGCCAACGGCTGACCAGCAATGAGGTATTGGCGACATATTCAGACCAGGAATGTCCATGGGTGGCCATCAATGAGGTATTGGTGACCTATTCAGACCAGGAATGTCCATGGGTGGCCATCAATGAGGTATATTGGCGACATATTCAGACCAGAAATGTCCACGGGTGGCCACCAATGGGGTATATTGGCGACATATTCAGACTAGGAAAGTCCACAGGTGGCTAGCAATGAAGTACTGGCGCCCTGATTAGACTAGGAATGCCCACGGTTGGCAGCAATGACGTATTGGCGTCCTGATTAGACTAGGAATGTCCACGGCTGGCCAGCAATGAGGCATTGGCGTCCTGATTAGACTAGGAATGCCCACGGTTGGCAGCAATGACGTATTGGCGTCCTGAATAGACCAGGAATGTCCACGTGTGGCTAGCAATGCGATGTTGGCGACCTATTCAGACCAGGAATGCCCATGGGTGGCCAGCGATGAGGCATTGGCATTAGGAATTCAGTGACAGGTGGCTAGCAAATGAATGGCGCCCTGATTAGACTTGCCCACGGTGCACCGTATTCATTAGACTAGAATGTCCAGAATATCTACTGGTGGCAAGCAATACGTATTGGCGTCCTGAATAGACCAGATATTGGCGTCCTAATGAGACTAAGAACGCCCACGAATGGTGGCAAGCAATAAGATACCTGAGACGAATTGTGGCCAGTCCTGACGTAATGGCGTCCAGATCCGGAATGCCGGCAATGAGCCTCGGATCGATGGATGCTGTCCAGTATTATCCCTCAGTGGGGCAGATTCATCCAATTAAACAAAAAGACATTTTGTGTGTTTATATCTGTGTTTATTTTGTAGTTTTCGCAGTTGCTCTGAACGAAAGCCCTTGTTGAAGTGCACCTGAATCTGAAAGTAAATAAGTTACATACAGGTAATATTTAAACAATATACAGGCTTTTTAGAAGTTTATGCATGGTCATACCTAGGCATTATTCATTCCTATAACCTATAGCTACAACATAGTTTGAGGTAAACTAAATACCAATTCCGTCCACGATCTGATATTAATTCGTGTTTTGAGAAATCCATGATGTGTGAGACAGAATTCCGGGTCTGGCTACTCCATGGTGATAATGGATTACGAAACTGCTGTTAGATTGGAATTATATAAATTAGTCCGTGATAGTAAAGGTAAGACATTTTATGGATGATCACGTCTGTATTTTCCTATTTTTCTTCCCTAGTTACTAGTTCTCTATTCATTAAATATTATCCTTTGATGTCATTGATGCAATTCGTGCACGCCCACACTGTCATACAAACCCAAAACCAAATATAGCCAAAACAACCCAGGCAAGTCTAGAATAGGTGACAGGTTTTAGATAATTGGTCTCTGACCTGCTTTTCATCGTATGAAGATAACATTCTTTCTTCTCTGCCAGAAACATTCATTAAACATATAATTAATTGATAATCACTAACCTATCAACGTCTTCCCCCGCCGTTCAGAAGTGCCTGAAGTAGAGCGGCGTCTTGGGCCCCGTTGCTGCCGCTGTGACCGCCACTGCTGCCGTGGTGCATGGGGACGGGGATGGGGATGGGGTAGCTGGAGGAGGAGCTATGGTGGGAGGAGCCAGAGTGACAGCAGGACTTCTTGCAACACGCGGACGTCAGAGAAAACAGCATAGCTGCAGGAGAAGAATTCAATAAACAGAATGTATTATAAATGACTGAAAATAGTGACACGTGACGTCAGAGATCAGTGCAAGTAAAAGAAACAACCTAGTCAGTAAACTGCATTTCAGCAAAATGATTATGCAAGAGAAAATAGAGCCACCAAAGCTATGTCCATTGACATATGAAATCTCTACAAGAAGCAGAGGCGATGGCACATCTCACTATATATTGAAAAATATATTATGAATCACTATAAAAAAGGTCACCGGGTGTTTGCCTAAAAGTAAGGAATATATTTGGAGGGATTTCATGAAGGACTTGCGGTCAGACCGGGATTAAAAGCTTTTGTCCACATTAAATTTGTTTTTTTGCTTTTGTTCTCGCCCACAGAGAATATTTAAAAACAAAGAAATCATTTCAAAATTCAAAATCATGTTCCAGAGAAACGACGGATCACATTCACCTATAAGGATGACTAGGCTTTCAGCAGCGGTTAATATACACTTTTGACAACAAATAACAATCCGTCACTTGGCGCCTAGATCTCTAACACGAATGATGAATATCTCTATTGGGCTTTTCTCTAGAGGCTGGAACTTTAACCCTCTTGTTTCCTGTTTCATTACAAGCAAATATCCCCGTATTTGTTGATTAACACTACATAAAGAACATTGCAAATGGTATCTTACCGAATAAAATGACTGAACTCAGAAATTTGGCGTTCATTTTCTCAGTCGTTGGTTGATGTTAGTACTTAACAGCGAAGCAATGTGAATGAAGCATTACTACGCTGTGTTCAATATATATATTATCGTACAACCCCATGTTAGCTAAAATATAATTAGGAGCCTCTTTGAACTCTGCTCTGGCTCTTTGGTGTGAGGAAGGACGTCGTCCAGACCCCCAGGTGCTGTGTGTGAGACCCCCCACGCGGAATGTGTGACACCCCTGTGTGGAGAGGGAACACACAGATTAATATCGGAAGAGAAATAAGCATCTGATCAGTGGTCTCGCGCACCTGTTTGTATTAATCTTCCCTGTGAACAACATGTCACCGCGTTAATGCGGACCACCTGCTCTGTGTCATAGCGGTTCCCAGTATGTTAAACCGCAGTAGATCATCCTTGCCGATAAATCGATTATAGATTAAATTATCGATTCTGAATTAAATTTTTTATGTACTTCTCTATTTTATTTCATTCTTTCTTCCTAACTTACTGCTCTACCACAACGATAATAAAGACATACTATTACAAGAAAGTTGAACGTTCTATCTGGAGAGGGACGGTGGGCTAGCCAAGTAGTTAAAGCGTTCCGTCGTCACGTCGAAGACCCGGGTTCGATTCCCCAACGTATGAAGCCATCCTTTCCAGCAGTGCTGTTTATTGTGTCACTGCGTGAATTGTCCAAACCTCCCTGAGAGCTCTGACAAACACAACTAATGTCACTAGCATGCTGATGTAACTCAAAATATACGAGTCTATTAAATGAGACTTGGCAGCTTTTATCTTGTTGCAATCCACTTGGTCACGTTAGTGTTTTAATCAGTTTTAGCACCTCGAGTTTCTAAATAATTCATGATTCTCTCAGGAGACTTTTCTGTCCGGCAGTGCTGCTTGTGATTTCAATACATATTTAACCCTCATCCACCCCGGGGAGCATCAACAAAACAACAAAGCACTCGTTAATAAAATCCCAAGTTCATGTGTAATTACAGAAACAAAATATACCTGTCAGGATGAATGTAAGTTCTGTTACGATTCTCCTATTGTATTCGTGTTAAAATATGTTTTGTATCTTGTGTTTGGAAATACTAAGTAACGGTATTGTCTTCCTGAGAGCTCCCTACGAGTCGCTCCGTGTGGTTGGACCTACTCCGCCACATGACGCCAGATAAACCAGAGTGACACTTCTCCATCAACAGTCACACATAGCACAGTAGGCATTGCTGTCACGAGTATATAATGTGGTCTTGAAGAACAGACAGCACTAATCTTCTGACTTTAAGTAACGAAGACCAAGTCAAGGCAAGATGTCCACCAAGTACCTTCTTATCCTTGTGTTGTGTGGTAAGACAAAATACTCTCTACTCCTTCATTCATAAGTAAAATGGAATAAGTAATAAGTAATATAACGTGCCAGTGCTTTCTAACGAAAGTCCTGTGTACTCATTGTATAAGTGAAAATAATGGAATCGGTCAATGTCTCATTACTTTATTCATTTCAACGAAAATCAGTAACAAATAAGACATTTATTAATACTCTTTTCAACGAAATTCATAAATAAAATGTGAGACGTTTCCAAAGCCATGGTAACATAATATATTGCATAGCCTTTCAAGTTTAATGGCATTGGTAATGGTATTAATGGCATCTTCCTACATGCCTCCGACATGTCGCTTTATTCTTTCTCTGCAGCTGTGTTGTTTTCTCTGACGTCCGCGTGTTGCAAGAAGTCCTGCTGTCACTCTGGCTCCTCCCACCATAGCTCATCCTCCAGCTACCCAATCCCCATCCCCGTCCCCATGCATCACAGCAGCAGTGGCGGTCACAGCGGCAGCAACGGGGCCCAAGACGCTGCTCTACTTCAGGCACTTCTGAACGGCGGGGGTAGACGTTGACAGGTTAGTATTTGTACAAGAGTGAATATCTTTAATGTACAAAGTAAAATTATGTGCTCTGGTCGACACGAATGGTTCAAATGTTAATGTGTTTAATCCAGCAGTACATTTGCAAAAGTGTCCTCATCAAAGCAAGGCATTACGCCACAGCAGTTCAACAATTAGCTTCCGAGGCATCTGGCTACAGTGAGTGGTTAGAGTTTAGTCTCGGTCACATCACGTCGTGTCAGGCGAGGTAAACACGAAGTGCTGCAGGTCCTAGACTTGACGTAAGAAGGTCACATGTTCATTTAGGTCTTCCATTGACCAACCTTTGGATATCGTTTGATGGTTTTCTTTTAAGATGTTGCATTAAAAAGGTATCTGTGATGACTCATTTCTTTAAATTTGTTACCGTTTTTACTGATATGTCAAACTAAAAGATGAAATGTTCACCTTTTAAATCATATTATTCTAATATTTTTAGGGAAAATACCATGACATATTGTAAACAAAATACGATTTATAAAAACGTTGCAATATATTACTTATCACCTAGAATGCGCTTCTTTTTTTCCAACAGGAAAGTATATTTTGTCTGGTCCAGACTCGTATTCAACAATAAGAATATCACTCAACTCCAACAGGAAAATGAACTAGAATTTAGTACTTAGTTGAATAATAGAAAGTATTCACTGGTACAGATTTCCTATTGTTGAGCAGTATACTTTGATGTATTTTGAACTTAATACTGAATTATATCGGAAATAAACTTCCAATTAGAAAAACGTTTAATAATAGTAATTTTATAGGGATATCTGCGTTTGCAACGTGCAACGTGTGACCTCGTGTACATGCATGACATTACAATAAGGTACAACATGGATTATTGGGAACGCCCCTTTCCATTGATGCCAATGATGTCAGGTTTGATTTCATACAAGGCTTTGAAATCCTAAAAGTTAGTTTAGATAAATATTGATAAGACTAAAGCAATCTGTATTGGATCAAAAACAGGCTGTGGAGATAAACTATGTCAGGATTTGAATATTGAATGGCGAAAAAATGAATTTGATGTTCTGGCAATTATATTTAACGCCAAACTGAAGGATTTATGGATCATCAATACAAAGAAAAAAATAGATAAAATTAACAGATTATTGGCTGTGTGGAGAAAATGACATTTAACACTAATCGGCAAAATCACTGTTATCAAGACACTAGCTATTTCAAAGTTAGTTCATATTTTCAATACTTTACCAAACCCACCCAAAGATTTTGTTACCTCCCTTGATAAAATATTTTTCAAATTCATTTGGAATGACAAAAAGGACAAAATTAAGAGAACCTCTTTGAAAAAAGATTATGTACATGGGGGTTAAAAAATGATTGACATAAATACCTTTATCAATGCCTTAAAACTATCCACTTTGAGTCTTTATTTAAGAAAATCATTAATATGCAATCCATGCAATTTTCCTTTACATGATATCATGACATTTGGTGCTAATTTCTATAATATTGCTGATATTCATAATCCATATTGGAAAGATGTTTTAAAAGTATGGAATATGTATTGTACTAACATAACCATAAAGGAAAGCAACATTGATGAAATTATAGCACAGCCATTATGGTTTAATCATAATTTTAAAAACCAAAATCATTACATCAGACATTGGGCAAATAAAGGACTATTAACCATCAAGGACATGTGTGATGAAGAAGGTTTGATATCTTTTGAATCTTTGAAAAGTAAATATTTAATAAAAGGGACAGAATTAGATCATAGATATGTTCTAAATATTTTACCTTAATCATGGAAAAATACAATAACAAATTACAGGTATATACATAACTATGACTTGAATCTAAATTCCTATCAAAAGAATTTATGAAATCATTACATGGATCAAGATTATTTTACGATATATTGTTATTTAACAATAATAACCCTCATATATGTCATAAATGGGAGGAAGTGTTTGATGATACTGATTTTGATTGGCCAATGCTTTTTATGTCTTACAGACAAGACATTAATGATGTAAAACTCTTAGATTTCCAATTTAAATTTTTACATGGTATTATCTATACCAAAAAGGAACTGTTAAAAATGAAGCTTATCCAAAGTGCCTTATGCAGCTTTTGTAAAGATGAGGATGAAAACGTGTGCCATGTTTACTGGGAATGTAGTGAAACTAAGAAGTTTGGAATGATCATCAAATTTGGATTAACACCCATTTGATACAAAAAGTTAATTTGACAAAAGTTTTGGTGTATTTTGGTTCCTTAAGTAAAAACCCATTACTTAATCATATAATCATTTCAGCAAAACGAAATGTCTCTTCTTTGAAAAACAACATGCCAAAATGCAAGAACTTTATAAAGACTTTAAAAGATATTTTTTCTGTTGAAAGCTTCATTGCCAAAAGAAAGAATGAAATGAAGAAATTTGCAAATAAATGGCATCCATTATTCCCAGTATTCAAACCTGACCTGTGTATGCAGCAACCGCATTTGTAAAATCTTGATCTGTTTCCCCTTGTAAAAAATATGTTTGTTTTAGCTATGCATTGATTAATTAGTTAACATATGTGTAGGTGCACTGATGTAACATTGGGAACACATATACTACCCATCAAAAGTTTAGACTCAGTTAAAACACTCACTATATGTTATGTATATATATATGGTTACATTGAAGATGAATTTCTTCACTAACGTGCGGGAACCAACTGCAAACCTTATGCAGATGAACTGCACGAGGATCATTCACCAAATTGCTGAAAAGCATGTGCAAATATCGTGCATGTGGACAGCTGCGTTTTGGTGTAAAGTTTTGTTAAGAATTCGCCAATTTTCACTGATTTTTATCATTTACTGAACTCATGACAATAATCTTCTCAACGTTACGAGTTTGTTTTACAACACATCAGTTCATGTGTAAACAGTATCTTTTAACAGTAAAGAATATTTTGCAAAATTTAGATTAGAACAGTTGACTGAAGTAAGTGGCTATATTTACACTAGTGAGTCTAAACTTTTGATGGGAAGTATATTATAGGGCGGATATATGACGCAACATACAACACAATACGTCGGATGTGGCGCAATATACAATACACATTGGATGTGACACAAGACACAGCATGATGTGTCAGATGTGGCACTATATACAACACATGTTAGATAAGACCTATATACAATATATGTCAGATAAGACAACTATGTACAACACGATAGGTCGGACGTGACTCTATATACAACATGGTATGTCGGGTATTGCACTATATACAACATGATGTGTTAGATGTGGCTCTATGTACAACATGGTATGTTGGATGTGGCGCTATATACATGTACAACATAATATGTCAGAGGAGTATGCATTATACAACATGATAGATCAGATGTGATGCAATATACAATGAGATAGAAGGGATGTAATACAGCATGATATGTCAGATGTGGTGCTTTAAACAATATGACATGTCGTGTGTGACAACATATGAAGCATGACATGTCGGATATGACGCTATATGTAGCATGACATGTCGGATATGACGCTATATGTAGCATGACATGTCGGATATGACGTTATATGTAGCATGACATGTCGGATATGACGCTATATGTAGCATGACATGTCGGATATGACGCTATATGTAGCATGACATGTCGGATATGACGCTATATGTAGCATGACATGTCGGATATGATGCTATATGTAGCATGACATGTCGGATATGACGCTATGTGTAGCATGACATGTCGGATATGACGCTATATGTAGCATGACATGTGGATATGACGCTATATGTGGAATGACATGCCGGATATGATGCTATATGTAGCATGACATGTCGGATATGACGCTATGTGTAGCATGACATGTCGGAAATGACGCTATATGTAGCATGACATGTCGGATATGATGCTATATGTAGCATGACATGTCGGATATGACTCTATATGTGGCATGACATGTCGGATATGATGCTATATGTAGCATGACATGTCGGATATGACGCTATATGTGGCATGACATGTCGGATATGACGCTATATGTGGCATGATATTTCGGATGTTGCGCTATGTACAGCATATGTCGGAGCAGCCGCAATATGCAATACGATATGTTGGATGTGACGCAATATACAGCAGGAAAGATCAGATGTGGCCCTATGTACAATATGATATGTCGGATATGGTGCTATATACAACATAATTGGTTGTATGATATGCTACATGCTTTACGATATTTCGGATATGACACTATATACAACTTATGTTGGATGTTGCGCAATATACAGCGCATGTTGGATGTGACCCCATATACAATATGCTATGTCTGGTGTGACGCTATATGCAACACTGTATGCAGCATGTTGCGCTATGTAAAACATGATATGTTGGGTGTGGCACCACATGCAACACCTTATACAGGCTGATATTTCACTGGTCTAACTATGTTACATCCTGGTATGTTGGATATCTGATTATATTTCATGTATTTGTATATGTCATTATGTAAGGACCGTTTATGATGGAAGACTTGGGTTGCAAAACAATAAAATAAATAAAAAAAATATATATATATAAAAATATATTAGTCTGCCACAAACTAAAAATGAAAATATTTTAAGTCACGTCCATAAATTCATTGTTCTTATTAAGCGTCCCTTGTGTAATCTGTCTTTTCTCTGTTCATTGTCTATAACATGTATTTTTTCCGCATGTAGTTGTCGGGAGAGAGCTTTAATAAGTTGAATAACTTGTGTCCAATCCCTTTCCATACTGAATAGAATATGTTCAAACAAACAAACACTTCGCATCGTTAAGTGAATCATGTCCAGGAATCACAGTTATTTGCTATGAGACAGATCTCGGTTTTGTTAGACCTATTCATATATGTGACATATTATATATGCGTATTTTCATATTAACTATTGACTATCAACAGTGAACTTATTTCTTTCAGATTACACATGCGGTGATCACAATGAA